CCCTGACTTCCCCGTTTCCATTTGCCCTTCTTTCCTGGTCCTTCCTCATTTCTGAACTTTTGTTTTGGGGCAAATGTTGCCCTTTTGGTCTCAGATGGTTGATTGTGCTCATCTTTTCTTAATGAATTCAAGCTGCAAAATGAAATTTCCAATGCTGACCGCTGTAAAAATCAAGTGTATCTAACACAATGGGGAAGGTGGAGCAGTAAGAGTTAAAAGAAACTGTAAAGAAGTGGTAATTACTTCAAGGCAAGTTTTTAACCCCATAGTCTCTACAGAAAAAAGATAGATAGAAATAGACATGGCATTAGTTTCTTACAAATATATCTTCTGGAAGCTAAATCCTTACAATATACAAGATATTTTCAATATTAAAAAAGGTCTAACAAGTGAAAAACTATCATACGTATACACATTTCTAAATTTCTCTTTATGTACTGACTTTGCATGCATTTCCTCCTCCGTTTTTCTTACTAAATAGACTGAGATGATTAACATTTACATACAGATTATTGAAGATGAATGTTCAAACTTTGAGAATTTATCTTTCATAATGAATATTCCTTCACATAAAGTGACTTAAAAATTATTAGAAAGTTATCATCAAATGAACAAACAGCATGTGGTTATAAATTTCAAAATGAGACCATCTGAAAATATGAATTGAAAACTCCACTTCCAAATTTTCTAACTCTAGGAGGTTTGAGTATTTATTACAGTTAGAAGAAAGTAGATGTATTGGTTGGTGCACACAAAAATGAATGTCTCCAGCTACTTTTCCCAATGTTGTTAAGATAAAATCCAATAGTTAATACACATGGATTAATTTTTCTCTGTCTTTCTAAAATTAAGTTTTAAACTAAGGTAGCTACTTCTTGATATATTTTATGATCTTGAATCATTTAGAATTTATTTAGTATTTTGTAAGTACTTTAATTCTACACTGACTATATTATGCAAACTTTTACAATGGACAGCAATAAAACACCTTTTTCCTTATATTGAGTCATATACACTACAAATTACTCCTTTCAGATGTACTTTACTCTTGAGTAGGCCTTATGAAAATAAAAGTTAGTAAATTTCAATATAACAATTAGGTAGCCAAATCATACTCTTCAGAAAAGAAATATACCTCAACAAATGCAAATTAATATACAATATAAGTATTCAAAATTTTAACTTCATAATATGGTAATTTAATAATCACTTATCCCAAAAGAAAACTATAATAGAGCTAACTTTAATAACCACTGCATTCTTGACAAGTAACAAACCATCCCTACAAAGCTTAACATTCTGAAAACCAAAAATCTATCAAGTAACAAAAGCCTAAGACTTGGAGCAATCTACAGACACTAAATATTCTAGTCTTGCATGCAGTGAAACTTTGCAGACTAACATTAATAAAGCCCTACCAACAAATTATTTTCTCAGAATAATTCAATTTTGCAAAAAAAAAAAAATTAAGTTATGGTCCTTAATCTTGCTGATTATGAAAAATCACTTCATCATCAATCTTTCTTTATTGTCTAAAAATAACACAATCATGACCTTTATAAAGCAATTTTAACTTCTAATAGGCTGATAGTTGGAATAAATACTATAATTTACCAGAGACAAAATGTTCAATGGCTATAGAACATATATTCTAATTCTCTGTCTCACACACACACAAACACCACTACAGTAAACCCAAGTGCTCTGATATATCAAAACTATTGAGAGTGCAACTACCAAAAAAGCAAGTCTATCACTGCTTTTTCTTTTTCATTTCAACATTTGGCTGAATAAAACCACAACTCTAGAAATTAAGTGTTATTAGTCATTTGATGCAGTATTTGATACTGCTTTCTATGTATACTATAACTAAAGTAGAATTTTAAAGAAAGTTTTAAACATAAATTCCACGTGTAGAGGCTCATGTACTCTGATATCAAAGGAGAAACTGCCAATCACACCTCACTGTTCACATTTAAGAACCTGATACAATACTTTTAAAGTCTTAAAACCCTGCTAACAAATTAAAATCTAGTGGGAAGAGTAAAAACATCATGAATACACTTTTCTGGAAGAAATCTAAGTCATTACCATACATTTTAATGACTGTTTGAATGGGAACTTTTGGTAAAGAAACTAAAAAAGCATTCAACAAACTTGTTTCTATATAATCTAGATGAATGTCATTAATTCATGCCAATTGTCGACTACTTTTGACACAAATCACAAGTACTTTTCCATATTGATTACCATTTGTGTAAGCGGATCAAATTCAGCCTTAGTAAAGTTTTTCAAGTAATGCATACTCAAACCTGTCCAAATATTCCTTTAAAAAGCTATTTTTAACTCAACAGAAAACTTTTTTAATATTATAAAGCTACTTCTTTGGTGAGACTTATCTTCATTTCAAAACAAAATGCTTAAATAGCTGTTCACCTTTAGGTGCAGCTAACAATCAAAAGAAATAAAACACTTCAAATATAAAGCATATTCTTAAAAAAATAAATTATTCCCCTTAGGTTCCTGCTACTTTTAGGCAAAATGATTACTGACATTTACTAAGAAATTGTAAAGAATACCTTATTAATGCTTAAGCAATTAGATCATTTTATCTATTGCTCACTGCTACAATTTACATCATCCAATTTCTGGTCTAAGTAGAGGCCTCGACAAAAGTAAAATACTACAGTCATTTCAGGCCAATCATCTATTTTCACATACTCTGTGTACAAGGCCTACCTTTACCTTTCAATTTCTGTGAGAAATGAATACCTTATCATCTGGGAGGGGCCAGGAAACTATCCTCATCCTTAATCAAAACTAGTTTGTCTTGCCTGAAACTGCAAAGATTAATGGGGTTTGATAACCACTATCTTTTGAAGTACCCTAACTTTTAGACGCGCAAAACTACAGGCTTAAAATTCTTGGTTTCTGTCTTACTCAACAAGCTGACTCAGTAAATTTAGTGTAGTGGTGGATGAACAAGTGTGAGCATTTTAGTTACAATCTGAAACAAGTAAACGCACTCCCGACAGCATTTCTGGATAGTAGCTGGTAAATTATACTTTGAAATTCTACACAAGTGGGCAAAATTCACGATACCTATAGGTGTCAGAGGACTTGAAACCTAAATAAGCTAAGTGGCAATTCTGGCACCACAATGATACTTAAATTTCAAGTGAGAACTGAAGTTTAATCTCTACGATCACCATTTGCTACACACAATACCTTTGGAATCCAAAGGGCATTATCATTTCGGGATCAAAAACGACTCTATCTCCGTTCTATTACCAATGACCGGCAGGAAACACAAAATGCAACTGAACAGCAAATCCCAGGGCCTATCCGATCTCACCCCGGAGGGAGGGAAGAAGGCAAATTTAACAAAGATTTTATAAGGGCACTTTGCAAGGTCTATTACAGCTCCATTGATTTCAAACTTCCAAACTTCTAAATGCGGTTGGAAGTTGCAATTAACTTAGTTTACACGTCCAAACCGACTCGTCGCCAGAGCCCGATTCTGCTGCTAAAGTTATGCAAATGAGCCCCACAATTCATATTTTAAATAAATCTACCCGAGCAACCCAGGAAGCTAGAAACAATCACTGCAAGATTCTGATGCAATATGCGTACGTGCAACACGAATTTTCATTTTAATCTGATCTATACCCTTGATCTAGGGCCTAGGCCAAGATGTAATCGGAATATGCTCAACCTCAAAGCGTCGACTTTTCTGTTCATTTCGGGGGACCAGATTCACGAGCTCTCGAATCCACGACCAGGGTTACTGGCTCCTGTACAAACGGGAGGACAACAGCCCCTAGGAAGCGACCCCAGACCGAGACAAGAAAGCACCCGGCGTCTTGACACTTGCCACCAGGCAAGCGTTCCGTCTAGCCTCACACACCCAGGGAAGAAGACCTTGGGGAGCGCCACACAACACGGGACACACTCGAGAAGCCCGACTGGGGTTCTACGTGATCGTCACCCAATCTATGACAACCATTCGCCTCCGTCTACTCCCACGTTCTACGCGCGAGTGACAGAAAGGCCGGGAAGGAGCAGCCGCAGAAATGGATACAGGTCAAGTCTAAGTCGAATCCATCCTCTTGGTATCTCCTTTTGTTTCTGCTAACGATCTCTTTGATGATGGCTGTCATGTCTGGGAGCCTGTGGCTGAAGAAAAAGGAGGAGAGAGATGGCAGAAGCTGCTGGTGGCGGGGCTTCTTCTGCAGGATGGAAATGGCTCTGGACTTGGCGGTCGCTGATGCCCCTCGCTCGCTTGCCGCTTGGCTCTGGACCGCAGCCGGGTAATGGCTGCTGCGGCGGCTGCTGCTGCTGCTGCTGCTGCTGGATGCTTGCAACGACTGGGCCTGCTTCTCCTCAGGAGCCAGAGGCCTGGCAGCAGCGGCGGCGGCGGAATGGGGAGAAGACGAAGAATCCTCGGATCGGCTGCCTCCCCCGACGGCCTCCAGAGCCCGGGCCAGAGGGGGTGCGGCGGCGGCGGCGGAGGGGAGAGTTAAAACCGGCCCGGGTCCCTGGATGTGCCGCCGCCGCCGCCGCCGCCGTGTTGGAGGCAGTGGAAGGGGAGAGACCAACTCTCCGGCGTTCCCAGCCCTGGAAATGGTGACAGGCGACTCCGACCCCCTCCCCGGAGCTGGAGCTGCAGCCGCCCCGGCCGCCGCCGCTTCTCCCCCCCGCTCCAGGAGCGGGAGGTGCCGCCGCCGCGCCTCAGCCGGCTCCCTCCCGAGCCCACGGTTTCCACCTTCCCTTTCAGGGGAAGCCGAGGAAGAGGCTGCACGGTTAGAAGAGGCGACGGAGAGGAGGCGAGAAACGCCGCCGCTGGCGCCTCCGCCGGCCCGCCGGCTCCCCGAGGGCGCTGCCCCCGCGGCTGCTCACAGGCGCTGAGAGGGGCTCTGGGCCGCGGCCGCCGCCGTCTCTCATCTCCCTCGCCTGAGCCCAGCCTCGCCTCACAGCGGCTCAACTCTCAAACTTCCATCATGGCTGCAGCTTCCGAGAGGAGAGAACTAAGCGCAGCCGAATCGCGGCCCCGACGCGCGTATCCTGCCGCAGTGCACAAAGAGTTCCGCCACATCACCGCGGGTCTGCCCGCCCCCTCCGCCGCCTCGCGGGGAGCCCGGGCGCTTCGGCAGCCCGAAGGGAGACGGGAGGCGGACGGGATCGCGCGGGGGTGGGGGCGGGGAGAGGCAGGGCAAGACGGAGGCGGTTGGGAGGAGGTAAAAGCGGCGACTCTCCGTGCGAGCGCAGAACCCTTAAGCTGCAGGCGCTTCTGAGCATGCCCAGTGAGACTGCCGGGGCTCGCTTGGGCTTGTTCGGAGGCGCCCGCCTGTAGCTGCACTTGCCACCGCTGCTTCTGCAGCAACGGGGCGGGGGAGACTGGCAAAGGCTGCGGCCCTGAAATCCAACAGGAGCCAGGATGGGCCGCTACCGAGGGAAGGAAAACTGATGATGAAAACCCTAATTCAAACGTGAGGTTACCTGTGCACAGGTGGAAGGGTCAGGTGACCGCGCTGGACAGTGTCTAGGGGCAGGCCAGGACTGTCCCTGCAATGAGGACACCCCTCCCCCTTCCTCTGCCCACTGGTTTCCCGGGCACCGCCAGCCGTCTCCCTCCTTTAGCCCCGAGGTCGGATCACACCGCTTTGCAAGGATTTGGCTGCGACAGCCTGTGTCGAGAGATCCTCACTCCTTCACGCCTCCACCCCCGGTGTCCTCAAGGTGTCAGTCTTAGCACAAAGAACAACCCCCTATTGTGTCTCCAGCGTGTATCTTCTCCAACGGCTCTCACCGCCCGCTTCCCCGGTTACTCGGCTCATTCGCCCTAAAAATGAAAGCTTTCAGCCCAGTGCCCTGAGGGTGAGCGCATCGCCCCGGAAATTTCAAATCCCCAAGAGCAACGGCCTAGGTAGGTCGAAGGCAGATCCCCGAGGGTGGGATGCACTCCGCAGCCCCCTTAATTACCCCACGGGAGAACCGACCTACCCACCCCTCGGGGCTCCAGGTCAGTCCCTAGCCAGGAACCCAGACTCAATCCTTTAAGTCTACCTCGCCCCGCCCCTTTTCGGCCGCAGCGAAAACCCGGCTGGATGGACTACGCTGGGGTCTGGCTCCCTACGCCCGGAGCCAGGCAGCGCACGCTGAAGGCCAGGGTTGTGGGCCCGGGTGAGAGGCAGGGAACCGTAGGAAGCTGCAGCCTTGCGAGTGGGCGGAGCCGAGGAGACCTGGGAGGGTTCAAAAGGAGGTGGAAGGATACGGGAGCCGCCGTCGGAACTACTTTCGGGGAGGTCACGTGTGTTCCTAGTTGGGGAACTTTCCAAATTCCCACTCCCCGTTGATAGCTCCAGAAGCAGTGGCAAGTGCTTCCCCTCCTCTGTTCGCAGCGCCTCCAGCCCCGTGCTGGCCGCGGGACCCGCGGACGCTCAGAGCGAAGTAGGAAAACAGGCTCCTACCGGAGCGTGGTCGGGACTGCGTCTGGGGAGCTGGTTACACAAGCACTCTCATCTAAGCACGTGCCCCCGCCTCCCCGTACAGCTGGTCGCCGCCGCCGATTTTTGCAAACCACGAGGCGACAGAGAGTGCCCAAGGTGGTCCCACCCTTCTCTTGCTACCCAGAGAGCTAGCTGAAGAGCTGACACCTGAGACATCCAGCTCTGGACGGGCAAATGCTGGGAGTTCCCCCACCGTGGGAGAAGGGGCTGGGCCTTGGGGGTCGAGCGCATGCCCTCTTCTTCCCTCCCCCACCCCCCGCCCAACACCCCGACAATACCCCCGTCGGTGGCCTGCCCTTTATGGTGAACCCATCAGGCTGGCTATAAACCAGATAAAGGGTATCTCCTGCAGCGGGCTAGTACGCTGCTGAGTCTACCGATGTTGCAACAAACTTCCAGTCACTACCCGGAGCAGGTGAGTGCGCCCCACCTACTGTAGATTCAGCCAAGTGACTTATCTCGTCGGAAAACCTAGTCCGTGGCCGCCAGCCCAGTAGAAACCTGTCAAGTTTGCTTAAAGCCAGGATTGGTTGACCTATCTCCGCGAGAGGGAACTGGTTCAGAAATGTAGAGAACTAGTGCGTTTCTCCACTGCCCCACCCAAATCCTCTCACCAAAGCAAGTGGTCTTTGAGTGCCACCAATCTTTTATTCTTTTCTCTGGGAAGTGGATCTCAAGGCAACAAAGTCCAAAAAGCATTTGATAGTTACAAATGTGGTGGGCCAGGCCGAGGTTATTAGGTTGCTTTTCAAATTTGGGGGAGAAGAGGAATTAATTTACATATGTAGCAAGAATTATGAGTAGGTGCCTAGAAAATCGTTATAAGGCTTCATGCAGTGAGAAAGAAGATTGTGTGTGTGCTCATAGTTGCACGCAGCCTCTAAAGACTAGAAGCCCAAGGGACCTACCTTAAAAGCCACAGGCCATTACCTAACTTCACGATTACTAATTAAACCAGAGATGTTTACAGTGTCCTTAGAGATCTTGGAAGCTCCATGAAACTTTGCATTTATATACACCATCCTGTTAAGATAGCACTTCAGGAGTTGGCCACATGCTAGAGCTACAGTGTTGACACTGGAGGCTCCTCGGGTGTGCGTGGTGCTTCTGATCAGCCTGGCCAAGATAAGGACTTGGGTGCAAAAGGAAATAGAAAGCACCCTGGAGAACGTAGGAAGAAAGGCCTCATTTGATTTTCAAAAATGAACATCCTGTCCACACAGCTTGATAGTGCCCTTGACTCAATTTCCACTCATAGGGACCCCATGTGACAAACTGTAGACTCACTCCTGGTTTTTTTTCTTGGCTGTCTTTACAGAAATGTCACCAAGTCTCTCTCCTTCAGAGCTTCTAGGTTAGTGCCCGGGCACCCTCTTCCCAGAATGGCCTGAATGTTTAACCATTTGCGACACCAGGGCTCCTTTGTGAGCTAAAGATTACTCTATTTTGCAAATAACCAAGAAGAATGAGAACAACCTGATTCCCAGTTTCCAGTAGATTTCATTGTAACCTGAGCTGTGCCCAATTACCTCCTGCTGCTGGGTGGGGGAAAAGAAAAGAAACAATGAAGGAAGAATGAATGGGAAGGGTAAAATGTCCCACATTTGTTTCTCAAGTTGCTGATCTTCTCCCCGCTGCCCTGCTCCGCCACTCCCCTGGAGCCTCTCAGATGTAAGAATTAGTATCATAGTATCTGAGAAGCACCCCAAATCCCCTTCGTTGGAGGAAAATGGATTCATTCCTGACTGCTGATTTTAGACTTGAGAAGACTGTGCTCAACTCCCAGGGCACAGAGCGATTCTGGAGCAGAGAGGGTGTGCTGTGCCAACCCAAAAGGGCTGGAATATGAGACCAGTGCCCAAGCGCTTCCATCCTGCTGTTGGGAGAGAATGGGAAACTGGGCTCTGCTAGCCCCTTTCCTGCTATCTATTTGGAGAGCCCTATCGGATGGTTAGGAGTTTCAAAACAGCCCCCCTACCCCTTCCCAGCACTGATTAAGTACAAGGAAAAGCCGAGAGGAAATACTGATGTATCTTTTTTTTTAATCGTTTTATTAGGGCTCATACAACTCTTATCACAATTCATACATACATCAATTGTGTAAAGCACATTTGTACATTCATTGCCCTCATCATTCTTTTTAAAAAATTTTTTCACTTTTTCATTTTTTCATTTTTATTTCTTTTTCATTGTATCAAAGAGATCTCCTTACACAGGTGGTGAGCTGGGCCCTCTTTAATGTACAGAAAGTCAAAATTCAGAAAAATAATTTATTTTCCACTCATTTGCAAATATCTGCCGACTGTGCAAATGTTACAATACACTGGTTTCCAAGCCCTTCAGTTCCTTACCTGTCTGGATTCAGAATAATGCCCAAGGGAAAAACAGAAGCTTGTAACAAAGAGAGAATTATCTAAAGCTTCAGGGAGGCTAGCTATACAGAGTAATTAGTGAACATGATAAACCAGCTTTAATTATAGTTTCTAACAGCTGGTTCCAAAACTGTATTGTTAATACACCCAAAGAATGTCCAAAGAAATTCTTGTCTTATTTTCTTTGGGGAGTGAAAATGACCAGCAACTTGGTGTGCATGATATAAATAGTTGATGCGCTCTTTGTAGGTCCTGGAGCTAAAATGTCTTTGTGTGAACACTGATGGCTACTGCGCCTTTCTCCTCTCCCGCACACACTGACCTTTCAAATATAGATCTAAATCAGTGGCTTTCATTTTTAAGCAATCCTCTCTCTTCGTATCTATTTAGCCACTGTTTTTTAAACAATACCAAGGAAAAAAATATAGTAAGTATACATTCAAATTTAAACAGCCAAGTCTTCTAAGGATCCCAAGGCCTTTCCCCCCTTATTTCATTTACCCTAATATTGTTCTTTCAAGTACAGATATTATTTTGCCCGAGACATTTTTCTTAGAACATACTGCTGCAAGTCTTGCAAGCACCTATATCCTAAAAGAAATTTCCCCATCGTTGTCTATAAGCTTTTCATGTTTTAAACCACACAAGTTCTTTCAAGGGACTCTGGGCTACCTTCCACATCTCGACAAAGATGTATGCTGCTCAAATAGAAAGTAAATGTTTAGGAAATGATGGCAACATATGTACAGATATGCTTGATACAACTGATGTATGGAATGTTATAAGAGCTCATGGAATGTTATATGCTCATGAAATCATCCACCTCAGGTAAATGAGCATTGGGCTAGCCGCTCCTGAAGGGATCACTGAACAGACCGGGCATCCGGAAATTATGTCCAGGGAATGGGCCCGAGAATGACAGAAAAGACCCAAACAAAGCAAATTTGGGAAATAACTGACCTAATGGGTATTGGGACATCATCTACCAGATGCCTCCTGTAGTAGTCTGTATTTCTTTTCCCAGTATAGGATAGGACATTATTGAGAAAGAAACAAAGTTGACCACTGACTCACTCCTGTGGATGTTTTCCGTTGGAACATCCTTCAAGACTCTGAGGCATTGCTTCTTAAATGGTGCATTTAAAAAGACACCTTTTTAAACCAAAACACTGCATGGGAAAGACTCTAGTATCTTTTGCTGTTGTACTTTGATGGTATAGGCTCATATCTCCAATAACTTAATGATTCAATCAACAGATTTATTTGTGAGTCTATTAGGTGCAGGTTCTGTGGTAAACTCCGTGGACAGAGTAATGACTAAAGCAAATAGTGGGTCAGCCTTTACAGAATTTGTTTGCCTTTAAACAGCACTTGCTTGGCTCACACTTGCAGCCTCTTCACAGCCTTTGGGATCAAGTGAAAGTAAAAAAAAGTGCCCTGGTGACATTTGATAACCTATTCAGTTAGCAACTGTTGTATAACAAACCCCAATTAATGTTTTGTAAATTAAAACAACCACTATTTACTTGCTCAAGTTCAAGATTTTTCAAGGGCACAGCTGGACAGCTTGTGTGCTCCCAGGGGATAGTTTTGCGGCTGCTTTCTACCAGCTAAGGCTATGCAGGATGGCTTCACCTGCATCTCTGGCACCTCAGCAAAGACAATTGGGGACCTCCCTCTCTTCACATAGTTGGCCTCACTAAGCAGTTCAGCCCACGTTTGTCTTACATGGCAGTTGAGTCCCAAGAGAATGAAAGCTGAAGCTGCAAGACCTCTTAAAGCCTGGGTCCAGAAGTTCCATAATGTCCCTTCCAATGGAGCGGTTCAAGTTGCTAAGGCCGCCCCACTCAAAGGAGGGGAAAAGAGATTTTAGTAAAAGGAGCAGCATGCCTGTACTAGAATGGGAGGAATTGCTGGCAGCCATGTTTGGAAATGCTTTACCATAAACCAGTGCTTTACCATACACCACCCTCCCTAACCCGTGTGAATACACTCCCCCTTCCCCATAATTACCATTCTGTTTGCTATTGTCTCCAGGGACCAGATGTGAGGAGTTGGGGGGTGGGGCGGGTGGAAGGCACATAGCAGTCACCAGACCATAGCAATTCTGAAATCCATCCAGGCATTGTCACCCTAACTCTGAGGGCTTATTTCTCTGTTATGGCCTGGTTTGGCTCCCTGGGAGTAGTTTCCTAATCCATTGTTCTCAGTGGCTCTTGGTTCCACCCTCTGGGGTCCTGGATAAGTCCTTTGAGTCAATCTTTTCCATAAGAAATTGCCTGCCATTTACAGTTGAATAGCACTCTGGGCCTACTTCCTGCCAATAGAAATCTAGGGGCCAGAGGCTTTGTTCATTTTAACTTTCTCAGCTTTAGTCCAAACTGGTAATGTTTCAGCCCTGGTTACACTGCTGGGTAAGTGTTGGACGGCTAACCACGTCAGCCAATCTCATCTGCTGAGTTGACAGTTCAAACCTGCCAATAGCTCCACAGAAAAAAGATGAGGCTGTCGCTTGTGTAAAGATTTACAGCCTCAGAAATCCTATATAAGGTCACTCAGAGTTGGAATCAACTCTTTGACAATGGGTGATGTTCATCAACACACCTCTCCTAAATATTGTCTGAGGAGCCCTGTGGCATAATGAGTTACTCATTGGACTGCTAACCCCAAAGAAAGCAGTTCAAAGCCACTAGCTGATACATAAGAAAAAGGCAAGGCTTTTTACTCCCATAAAGATTTAGAGTTTCAAAACACAGGGAC